GCCCACGTGTCATGCCACCTTTTGGAAAGATGCCATATAACTGTTTTGCAAGAGAGATGTTGATTTTCTTGAGCTCTGTACAGAACATAAACAAGTCATCACAGAGCTGATCACTTGTCAGTTACTAATCACGTTCATAGACAGTTCTTTGTACTCACCAACTGTGACATCTGGTCACAATATTCTGGAAAATATCCTAGAAACATCAGATTAGGATTACCTCCGACAATGTGGAGGGATCTACCTCTCTCCAATCTAATCTTCTTTGAGTGGTATTTCCATAATACTGCATCTAGGACTTCTCACGCGAGTTCTACAGTGTCAGAGTGCTCTGGCATTGGATGTGTTAGTACAGCCTGCAGGCACATTTCCAACTTTGCTGCCTGAAGAAATGTCTACCAACATGGTAGGTAAAACTCCAACTTTGAAGGGTTGGTTGAAGGCACATGATCTGATTGACCAACATGACTAGGTGGAGCCCGTGATGAGGCGCGCCCATGAGAGGGAGGCTGGGTGCAACTGGACGATGTGGTCGAATGATGAGGAGACAGTCTATGGGTGGAAGCATGAGAATCATTAGTGCATGGAGACTTGGAGCGAGTAACCAGAGTTGATTGAGTTGGTGAGCGCTGACAAGGAGACAGTCTACGAGTGGAAGCACAAGATGCATTTGAGTTCAGAGACTTGGAATGAGCAACAGAAGGATGATGAGAACTATGAACAGAAGACTTTGTAAACGGCATGTGTAACAGGTGCACCAGTATTCATTCACCAAGTTTGTAAGGCTCTTCCATGTGTCATATGAGATCTCACATCACCAACACCAGTAGACTGGACAACATTCCTAGATGAGATCAAGAACGCGAATATTGACATTGTCAAAGATAAAGCACAATGCAAAAGAGAGAAGAAGGAAATAGAAAAGGCACAGAATTTGAGAATCATGAAGCTTGAGAACAGGCAGACAGATCCTGTCAAGATCTTCTGCCTGCAAATGCAATGCACAACCATCGGACAGACCAATGCTCCATCACTCCATACTAGCAGCATGCAGACTAAACTAACCTATAATACAACACATAGCATCACACCTAATCCAATGAACAACACATCAGCTCACTGCCAAGTATGCTATGTCACAGCAAACCAGAATGTAAGACAGTGTCCATGAGGTGAACCTCCAATGCAAGAGGAGCAGAATGCAATGCAAGTCCATTGTATCACTCAAGCTTGCGCTAGGCTCGTATTCAGCTATTCTCCAATGCATGTCAAACACCTGTCGCACATGAATCACTTCCCAATATTATCTGACACTTATCCACTCAATCCGATGTTTATCTGCTAAACCTGATGCTAATCCGCCAATCCAACACTAATCCAACAAAACCCGATGCTAACCTGACAAAAATGTCCTCCCTATGTCATGTCCTGTTGCATCTATCCCCACTAGGTGCACAGTTACTTGTTTTCACATTGCTAACATCATCCTTTCTTTATCTGAAACACCCCAAGACATCTGACATTTGCTATCCCCAACACAAACCCAATGAAACCCGCTAACCTGAAACCTGAAAAACATTGGACCCAACATTTTTGACACCAGACTCATAATTATACCTTTGGACTTTGTTTCCTGCGCTTTGGACTATCCTCCTTTTCGTATAACCAATTATTCTAATACCATATAGCTAACCCCTTGGGTCAAACACACTTGTCTTGCAAATATAGCAGACTAGGCTGTGCAAGACCACAACATTATGTATTTGGCTGAGAGTTTACTACATGTTTCCTGCTCAGCCATTGTTGTATTATTATACCATATCAATGAGCTCATACACCAACCAGACACTCCAGGAGGGCAAGCAGCTTATGTGGAGCAGGTGCAGCAATGAGAAACACAATGGGGTGGGGAGGTGGAACCAGGTGTTCAGAACAAATCCCATATCCACTAATGCCAGGAATGGCACAGATTTGTTCTGGAGAGTGCTTTAGATGTGGTGTAGGGACAGATTTCTGGCTAGGCTTGTAGAGACTATTCTTACCTTGGTGTTATGTTTGCACATTTGTAGCTTACATAATCAAGTTACCTTTTCACCAGTTACCAGTATGAGTCTGAGTCTTTAGTAGTTTTTATGATATTTCCTCTCCTCTGAGCTTTGAGCCTGGTTCAGAAACCCTTTAGGGTTGAATAGCAGCTAGGTTCTGCAAGACCCAACACATTGTTCTGAATCATCATCAGAATTGTTGTACCCACAGTGGCTCACATAGGCATATCAGCCCAGAGTGCCAAATCCTAGTGGACAACCAGTTGCCAAAGAACAAATCCATTTGGAAAGGATTATGCATGTGTACCTTAGGAACATTCAACAGTGCAACAGCGCTGCAGCTCAATATAGTATTCAACAATATATACATACCTACCATGGGAGAGCAGGGAAATGGGAATGGGTTGTTGGTATAGAGGACCACTCGACAACCCACTCACATGATACATCTCAGAACAATGGACCACCAGTCCTTATGTGTAATAAGGAAACATACAAGGACCAGTATGACAATCCTGCTAAGCCAACTCCTAGTAAAGACTGCATTGCCATGTCTTTTTATTGTAGTAAACAATATGATACTGTTGATTTGTACTCAGCGGATGAGGAACAGTCCCGAAACACATCTCTTCCCTTCCTACAAAACATCACATTCATGGAACCTCAAGGAGAAACCATACAAGTCACAGCTCTATTCAATGAAGGAGCATTGATTAGCATAATGTGCACATCAACCTTCAACAAGATCAAACATCATCTCAGAAACTGGAAGTAATCAATCTGATGTTTATCCACTAAATCCGACGCTAATCTGATGAAACCCAATGCTAATCCGATGGACCCGACATTTCCCATGCATTGGACCCAATGTTTTCTTGTGCACTTGTCCTCCCTATGTCTTGTCCCGTCATATCTATCCCCACTAGGTGCACAGTTACTTGTTTTCACATCGCTAACATTGTAGAACACATTATTACATGTCCGCAGTACCACATGTCTTTTTACATAGGACATCGGACCCAAAAATCAGCGCTACTACTTTCACCTATAGCACTCCAAAATTCTACATAGACACTATATATTTTGCATACCTCCTACCTATTTACTTACCTTTCTACCTCTGAGTAGGAGGAGGTCATTGATATTAGTAGTTTTTAACTGAATTCCGCAATATCATCCTTTCTTTATCTGAAACACTCCAAAACATCTGACATTCGCTATCCCCGACATTCGCTATATTCCCAACACAAACCCGATGCTAACCCGATGCAACCCAAGGCAAACCTGCTAACCTGAAACCCAAAAACATCAGACTCGTAATTATACCTTTGGACTTTGTTTCCTGCGCTTTGGACTATCTTCATTTTCATATAACTGATTATTCTAATACCATACAGCAAACCCCTCGGGTCGAACACACTTGTCTTGCAAGTATAGCAGACTAGGCTGTGCATGACCACAACACATTTTTATATTGCTGGTTACTTACTTTGTGTAGTATCCAGCGATTGTTGTATCTCTACAGCGTACACTACTCAACCAGAGCCTGATAAAGAAACCATTTATCAAGGAAGCTCCTGAGGAAATAAACAAGCTGAGAACGCACCAGGAAGAACAGAGCAAAAGGGACAACAAAACAAGACTGAAGCCAAATAAACTAGCGGGTCACAACACAGCCAGACATGTAGGAGGCTGACACTGGAGAGCAAGCAAAGAGTTGAGCAAAAAACAAATGGTAAGTGCAAAAAACTTAAGTACTAATGACATCGCACCAACAGAAGCTGAGGTTGAGGTACCAATTTGTATCCTAACGGAAGATGGAAAGATGTCAGAAGAGTCAGTTGAGGCACTGTTAAAAGAGATACCAGTGGGCTTCTTAGAAAATGACAACACTATTTTCACATGACTCACAGATCCCTTCAACATGAATTGAGTAGCCTTCATCATTAAGAAAGTTCAATATGGCAATGACCTAACAGTAGAAGAACAAGAACATTGTGAAGAAGAAATAGTGACTGGCTAGCAAGAAAACTAGAGCACTACTAAATCCAACTGAGCGCAGGTGTACTGTCTCGACCCAAGAGGATTGCTATGAAGCACTTCCTTCAAGTAAAATGTGAAGGGAGCAAATGCGGAATGGAAAGAACTGAAGACGATCTTGGAAAAGCGAGACCGCCAATGAGAATGAAAGCGAGACCGCAGGTCCAACGAGCGCGCGATGAGAAATGAACTAAAGCAAGGGGATCCTAGGTAAAGAGTGGTGGGTTTCTAGGTAAGGCGCGGTTCCACAAGTAGCGGCTAGGTATAGACGAGGTTTATGGCTGAGGTATAACTAGGTATGGAATGCTAAGTCGGAAACCAAGAACGGTTTGGATCTGCACAGAGCCTAGGTAAAGAAACTTAGAGGGGCATTCTCGGAGTGGTCAAGAACACACGGGTTCAAAGTGAGAATGAACAAAGCTTGTCAATTGAACAAAGTACTAAGAACATCTAAGGTGACTCCACAAAACAAAGGTAGCGTCTGAGGGAAGGGAAGTATTGTACTGTATGTAGCACACGAGGTTTTATCCTACTGCATGAGCGTCCAGAACCCGTAGGTGAGAACTGTAGCAATGAAAATGAGGCAGATAAGTAATATGTAATGAACTATGTGCAGAGCGGAATATGCGGATACATGTAATAAGCCTTGCTATTTGTTTAGTCAAACCAAGAGAGAAAATGAACATGCACCAGTGGAGATAGGTGGTCATGGAAAGGACATGGATGGACAGTGCGGGACAGAAATGCGAAGTGCGGAGCGGATACGCATGCAGGAATATGTCAGATAGTGTTGGTTGGAGTATCCTTGCCATTGGAACACTAGAAGATAAGATGGAACCTATATCTTCCCATACTCCTTGATACCAATAATCAAAAGACATGCTTTGCAGCCCAGGGAGGATGCAAATGTCACAACGTGCAGAGAAACTAACAGAGTCATTTGCAGATATATTTGCTAGGTCACTCAGAGAGGTAATACTAGTACCAGGTGCCAAACACTCACTCAACATTCCAGAGGGTGTCACCTTCCAACTACAAGTCCACCAAAGAGCACTTACCCCTCTACAGCTGCAATTTTTACACAGAAAGATAGATGATATGCTGACAGCAGGTATCATAGAGCGAGCACTACCAGATTAAGGGAAATGTGCAGCCACAACAGTGCTAGCACAAAAGGCACATGAATATGGGGGCCTTTCATTAGAAGAACTCTAGTATCAAGTCAACGAATAGTGCCAGCAGAATGGGATGCCTCCAGCATTCATATTACCAGAATGAGAGGTTCTAGAGCACAATACACCACGACAACAAGACAAGCCACAGAAATGGCACATCTGCCAGAATTTCAATGAGGTCAACTGATATATGGTCATTGCCCCTATACCACAAGGAGACATTTGCACCAAGCAACTCAGACTAAGTGGTCACAGATATGTTTCAGTCTTCGACTTCACATCCAGATTTTATGCTGTCAAAGTACCAGAGGAATCAAGACCATACACGGTGTTTTACATTGAAGGAAGGAGATGGTTTTGGTATAAATGCATGCCAATGAGGCTTACAGGTGCACCATCCACATTTGCAGATATGACTGCCACTCACTTACATGATTTAATTGCAGATAACATGATGGAACTCACAAAGAGGTTCTGAGACAATAGGTAGGTATAAAGCCTATGAGTGACTAATTGCATGAAGCAATGCAAAAGTAGTAAACATAGAAGAGCTGGACCTGTATTTTAAATTCTTCTGAGTTAACAAGTTCATGAGTCTCATTTTTTGTTTTTTTATGTGTTTAGGGCAATGAGATAGTTCATGATATTTAGTAGCATCTCCTTTTTGATTTTCTGTTGGCATGTGGCCTAATAAGGACAACTGTTCTTTCATAATGTGCATTTTATCAAAGTGTTTATGAACATTGCTCTTTTCAGAGCATTTCAAGTCTCATAGCTTACATAGAAGTTTGATCGAGATTATGAGTGCTGTTTGAATAGATTTGAAAGGTGGGTGAATATTTTTTTCATTGTGTCAAGGTTTTGAATCTAAATGAACGGAAAGTCAGGGATTGTCCCCACTATCTATTATTTCATTATGGCCTGGCCTGTGTACCATCAGTGGTGAGCTTTGGAATTTGAAGGAAGTCCTCTCCTAACTTTCTGTTCAAGGTAAATATACTACTTATGAGTTTATCTTTATGCACCAATTTAATTTTTTTTTACTATTTGTGACCAAGGCTCACAACCTGTAGCAGACACAGCTACAGATGATGTGAGATAGATAGATACTTAATATAAAGATGATACTAACATTGGTGACATATGAAGCCAACTAAGGAAAGTAGGTACATGTATAAGAGAGTGAAAATTTCTAGTAGTTAGTAAGTGAATGGTACTGAGAGACAATAGTGAAGATTTAATCTTCAACACTCCTTTCTAATGTGCATTTGCCACTAGCACATGCAACAAATGCACTGGTCAAGTTGCTGATATGTGTATATTATTTTTCTTTACTATCTATCTGTGTAATTACTCATATTAATCCTGCTAGCTCCTTTGGTCTATGTTTATATGAGTAGGATATTATGATGGTTTTAGCTTTTTTGGCTGGCTTACCAGCAGTGAGCATCTCTGTAGGGTTATCCACCAATGATTATTGTTAGTGTTCTTAGATAAGTGGATTCTAATCAACTAGTATTGTACATTGGTAAAATAATTGAATAAATATCAGATAAAACCAATTTTGTCTTATAGTTAAACATAATGAACATTGTGAGATAATAAAATTTATGAGACAGAAATACTTGGCCCAGGTCAATTATGATGAAGGACAATCATTAGAGAGTAGGATGCTAGTGATGAAGGGTTAGGCATATAAATTGAAACCATAGCATTTAGACAGGAACTTACAAATAACTATTCTACTATAAAGTTAGGATTAGTATAAAGTACAGTAAGACTGTCAGTAAAATAAGTGAACACAATTTGATCCTCCTAAGTTACAGATGTGCTAAAATGAGCCACCACCTGAGCAAAAATTTGACTAGGTTAAATAGGAATTTTAATCTCTAATTCAGGAGCACAAAACTCTCCTCCTTCCAATCATCCACAGCAAACACAAATATTCAAATGGCATGATTATCATACTAGTCTATGTGGACCAGCCTAGATCCATCTTCTTTGATAGCTACTGTAAAAAATATTCTTATAAAATCCAAGCTGGAGTAAATAAGCAGTTTAGCTGCTAAAATGTTCTGAACCTATTAATACACTCTATCAAATTAATCAGAGGACTATTATCCAGAGACTTAGCAGGAAATTAACATAACTTTGCATAGCATTCTATTGTTCTGGTGTATGAGCTTCAAAAATACTTATAATCTTTCCTACAATAAAATTACTAATATACTACAATAGGGCATTAATGACCTTGATAGCTTTAGAGGTCTAATATTAGGTTTCAGCTGTCGAATATGGTATAGAGCTAGTGACCTTCCATATACCAAAGTAAAAAGCAGCAGTGTTAACAGAATAGTTTACATTATGATGGAAGACTTCATGCTTAACACTATTAGCAAAGATATTATCTTAATGCTTGCAAAGATACTTTTGATTCATTTTGGTGATGAAGTAATCAAATTAAATGATTAAATAAAGTGGGAGGCCCTTAGAAACTTTTACACTAATAAGGAGGTCTTAGAGGGGCACCTGTACCTTGCTAGTGGCCAGAATCATTTCAAGCTAGTTGGAATCAATATCTATAGCCCTATAAACAGTAGCATCATTTGATTTGACCTGAAAGAAGGTGACAGGAAATTCATTAACATGATGGGTGTCTTAGGTGGAGAGTCAGTAAGTAATAAGTTCTACTTGAATTATAAATATACACACATTCTATCCTCTATAGCTGTCTTGACCTTTTTCTTATTTTTCCAAGCCAGGTAGGTTACTTGCTGAACTGCTTAGGATTTTAGACTATGGATATCTTAGTGAGAAATTTGATGAGGAAAGCATTAAATAAGAAATATTTCACATCTTGGAGGACCACTCAAGTGTCAGAGTAGACTGAGTTAAAGCCTATAATCAAGTTAGATGCTTTTATATAGTAGAGGTTTAGTAAATAGGTAAACCAAAAGTAGGATTGGAACATGCAGATGTAGCTTCTGGATACTAAAAATGCAGTAGCTAGTGACTATAGATGCAGCAGCCATGATACTGCAGATGTAGCTTTAGGTGACTGCAGATGCAGTGGCTAGGATGAGAAATATGACCATAATACAATAAAATAACTAATCAAATAAATAAATTTAAAAAATGTTTTCCATTAATATATGATATGCAGTAACTGACCTGTCACTTGTCTCTATAGCACTCTTTAGGTCTTATACTCTAATTAAGCTATCATTTAAATTAGTTATGATGTATTATCTATTAGCAACTTTCTTTAGGGTCAAATATGTCTGTTTTAGACATAGTAGCACAGATGGAGTATAGACTGCACTTAGGGAAGGATAGACTAGTTACTCTATAACCTTCTTTATTATTATGTTTCACTATAACATCTTCTAGGAAATTCAAATATATGTCAATATATTGATTAAATAATAGATAAAACTACTGGTGTGAGGACATTGGGACTAACACCTACACTTTTTATAAAATCCATGCAGAAACAGTATAAACAAAAAGCATGGTATACCCACTTATGTAGCTTTCAAAAAAGCATCTTCAACTCAATGTTGGGATTTTTTTTTTAAATATTAGCTATCTTTCATATGTTATTTTTAATCATAAAGTTGAAATAGATGCTGATGTTGTAAATAGGACCAAATGAGGTAGCTTCCAGAAGCATATTATGATTCTCTCATATTAATGAAATCTTTGTAAATAGTATATAGGCACTTGTTTAATAGTATAGCACTAAGATAAACCATACTAGAGCATCTCAATGAGGGAATATACTTGGTTTTTTTTAATAAAATGAATCCTTTGTAGAATAACACACCATGACATTTTTAACAGTAGCACAGATAATCATAAACTCACAACTTATATTGGTTTGACATTTAATATTTTACTACAGTACACTTTAATATCTCTCTCTTTAAACTATTGCTTATTAATCTTTTTATTTCTACCAAAAGGTCTATATTGACTCTAGTAATTCTCTAACTCCCATAATGCTTCTTATATTATAACTTCTTCTCTGCCTTTATGCTAATGATTGCAAAATATATCAGGACACCCCTAGCTTTTAGTTCTGCTGCTGTGGAAGTCAAAGACACTTCTTTATTAATAAAGTCATTATAATCAGCAGAAGACAAGAATACTTCTGTCTGGCCTATTTTACTATGATTATTTCTTCGAGATTAGATATATCAGTGATGAGGTTGGATAGGGTCTGGTCTCATAGTGGGTATCAGTAATATTCTAAGTTCCAGGAATTAACGATATATGAGTAACCAAGATATAGCAAAGTATAACACTACTATGTTCTGTTTTTGTGTAGAAGTGGCCAATTATTATAATTGGTTGCTTACTAGATCAACACCCTTATTTACTAACCAGTAGTGAGTCATATAAAGAACATCTTGCTAGAAGTTTCCTACTAGCATGTATCTATAGATAGTATCAATGGGCCAAGTACTTGTCTAATTATATATGAAAGAGGCACCTACTTTTTGTTAGATATAATTAAAGATGCTAGAGCTTATTGACTTTCCAATGTTAGACTAATTGATGCAAATGCTGTATTGGCTCTATATGAAAGAGATTTCATAGAGGACCTCAATGTAGAGTTTTTAGACTCTTGTATATTAAGCTACTCCAGACATTTAAGGGTTAGCTACTTATTAAAGAAGCATAAAACTACATACCAATTTCATAATAGTAATGAGGCTAGTAGTAGTGAAGTGGATGCTCATATTAAAGAAGATGTCAAAAGCTTTTTGAATCTGAACCAAGTGGCACTCCGACTAGGACCCCAAAAAAACTCTTGCCAAACAGACACACCCCACAGTGCATCCCTCACCCAATGGCACCCTCCTGCCCAAGTGGACCCATCAAACCTACAAACCAATTCACCTTCTTACTTTTTCACCTAAAACACTCTCCTACTCCACTATGTCTGGCAGAAGA